TCCATGGTGGCTAGGAGTGTGTTGCTGGGAAGGTGGTCTATGTTTTTAAGTTTCCGTAGCAAGTCTGTGGTATCTTGGACAAAACTTGCTCTGTGGGTGACAAGCAGTTTTAGGATGGATTCAACAAAACCTGATATTTCCTCAGTTAGGGTCCCATGGTTGGATATGATAGGTCTGCCAGGGTTCCCTTGTTTGTGGATTTTAGGGAGCATGTAAAAAGTCCCTGGGTTAGGTAGCGGGGGGATCAAGGTCTGTAGTTTTTCTTGTAATCTTGGTGGAAATGATTTGATGGTATTGTTGAGTTTTTTGGTGAAAAGGGGAGTAGGATCTTCTTGTAGTTCTTTGTAGTAGGTGGTGTCAGAGAGCTGTCTGTTGGCTTCCTTTATGTAATCCTCACGGTTTAGGATGACTATGGCTCCTCCTTTATCTGCTGGTTTTATTACTATTTGGTGGTTAGATCTTAGAGGTTCTATGGCCTTTTTCTCTGGTAGAGAGAGGTTGTTGTGGTGGCGTGTGTTGCTGATTATTTCATTGTTCATTCTTTCCCTGAAGTAGTCAATGTAGCGGTCAAGGTTAGGGTTTCATCCACTGCGAGGTGTCCAATCTGATGTTTTTTTTGGTTTTTTGGCATTGATCTTTTCTTGAATGTTGTCAGAGGATGAGTTGTTGTTGGGAGTGGGTTCAGTTTGGTCGTGGAAATATTCTTTGAGGCGCAGGCGTCGGAACTCACTTGATGTGGAAAAGTAGTTAAATGATACAAAATAATACTTTGAGCAGGGGGTTGAACTAGAGACAGGCTTATCCAACATACGGCCCGGGGGCTGCCATGCAACCCACCAAGGCATTTTCTGAGGCCCGAGGTGCTGCAATGGCAAACGAAAGTAAACACTGTTTACTTTCGTTCCCAACCCTTGCCCCTCCCCCAGCCCCTCAGCAGCTTCCTAATAGCTGCTGAAGGGCTGGGGAAGGGACAACGTTCCCACATGCACCGCATCAGCTTGATGTTGCCGACACGGTGTGTGTGGGAGGAAAGAGGAGTAGCCATGTGCCTCTCAGGACAGGATGAGCCCAGCCAGAGCAGCAGGGGCTCAGCTGCACTTTCCCCCTACGTGTGCCCGTCAGTGCCAAGCGGCACACGGCTCTGCCACCACCTCTGCTGGCTGGTGCTGACCCGGGTGGGTCTGTCCCATCCAGAGCAGCACGCAGCTGAATCTGGCCTCCCACATACTGGTGGGGATGGGAGGAGGCTGGCCAGGTCAGCACCAGCCAGCAGAAGTGGCGGGAGAGGCCAGCCGCTCCGCACTCGGCGGCGGGGG